AAGTGCTGCCATGTGGCAATGGGTCAAAACCCCGGTGCCCCGAAAAACACCCTGAAAGCCTTCTAGAAAAAGAACAGCGGAGTGAGAACCATCCCCAAAAAGGCATAGGTTTCGACCCACACCCATGTGACTTGACTCAAGAGGTCCCTCTCCCTTGCAGTGTCCACGCTGTGAGGGCTGACGAAGCGCCTCTGTCAAAACGGGAACAAGGTGAAACCCACAACTGGAATTTCCAGGAGTCCTCTCAGGATGCTTGATACATTCAAACATCGCCCCGCCTGAGAGCCACTCGTTTCAACATGGCGATCGGATGGCTATGATTACGCAACACAAAAAGGGGGACAAAAAGGGGACATAAAGTACACATGATACTCTGAAAAAACGTGTCCAAGCCAATGACCAAGACCCATACTACACCATGCCGTATCCATTCATATCCCACAATGTCTGTGTTTAGTGCGTGACAAGAACTCGACCCATGTTTCATGTCGGTTCCTTGTCCAAACTCGCCCCCAGTCCAAAAGTGGCAGAACCCCCCCCCCTCCCCGGCCCGCACAACAAAAGCAGGCGGCCCCCCAGTCCAACTCGCCCACCCAGTCCAAAAGTAGGGAAGAAAAACCTAGAGCCTCCCCCCCGCCCCCCCCAACAACCTCAGAAGGGGGGCCGTTTCGGCATGGCTCGCCTCCAGCAACTCCTCGAGCTCCCCCAAGTTAGTGCCCACTTGCGCCAGGCGCGCCTGCGAAGAGCAAGGCAGGAGAAACTTGGCCAAGGCTACCTCAAAGCTTCGGTGCCCCTATCACTTGGCAAACCGGTGGCCAAGACTCAAGGCTGTCAAACCGTGGAGCTGCCCGGGCCCATCCAAGTTGACAAACACAGAGACACGACACGTGTCTTTTCTTTCGCCCCCAGGCGCCGGCCAAAAGCCCAGCAAATTCGGGCATGCAGCTGACTGGAGCTCCGGCACGCTGACGGTCGAGCCAAAGCTCAGAGCATCCGCTTCTAGGTGGATGCGGGCCATGTGCCCAAATGCGCGGCACCTCGGCGCAAAGCACGGCAAATCCACTGCTTGTACAAGGCCCTGGCAGCTCGAGGCTGAGGAAGCCGCGCAATCGGCCAGCTTTGGCAACATGAAATCGCTGCTGTGAAAGAAGCGCAACTCTGCTGCACGCAGGTCTCCTGGCACCATTTCGAAATGCTGTGTCCACTTTGTGTACGTACGACGCAAACCCCTGCCTACGGCTGCTTGCCTTGAAATCTACCCAGGAAAAAGCGGGTATTTGGAGGGGGCACCTTTGGATCAGTCCTGCCAAACATCAACAACATCCGCGAGCATGTCGCCTTCCGGCCATAGACCCCTTTTGTGCACATCAAGACATGGAACACTCGTACAAACCCCTCACCTGCATCCGCCAAAGGCAGGTCACCGTTTGGCGCCAGTCGGAGCGAGAGCAAGCGTCCAGCACGGCACTGCAGCACAAGTGGTCCTGGGATGGGCGTCCTGTGGAAAAATACTCTCCTGTAGATTGACATAGAACCCAAAGGCAACCCTTTTGTAGAGGAATCTCATTTTGCAGGTTCCCATTGTTTACTTCCATCTTAATTTGCAGAGGAGTCAATAGCGGGAAAGCATGGCGGACTCAAAAATCGACAGCTTGCCAAGGCATAGCGTCATCATTTAGGTCGGATGTGGATACTGATTTGGCGCTGGAGAATGCTTGAGCCCCACCATCATCTTTAGAAAGCTCCCATCAAACCAAGACTGCCTTGGCAGACCGACAAAATCCAGGGGGGGGGGGGGGGGATTCTGGTCGTAAGAGGGATGTTTGATAGGAAAAAACAAAGTTGGAAACCTGTTGAACCCCCCTTTACCTCGGCCTTTGGCCTCGGCCTTGGGAAACTGGGGCTCACCTTCTTGGATGCTCAACCAACTTAGGTAGGTGATAACCATGGCTAGTGTTACTGGGGTTAGTCCCCGTGTAACCACTGTCATAACCTACACAGGGAGGTGGTGACAGGAAACAACGATACACGGCGTCCATGGCTTGTAATGGAATGACTAGAATTTAAACCCCTACTAAGTTACCATGTCCTTACAGAACTCTGGGCACTCTAGCTCCGGAACGGCTCCCTTCCAACCACGGGCAAAGTGACCTGAACTCCAACAAAAACGAGCTCCTAAGTGACCTGAACAAAATCAACCCCTGCAACATCCCAAAGTTCCGACAAATCCACCCCCGCAGCCAGCCGGCTCCTGCCGCAGCCCGCGGCTCCGCAGCATCCGCAGCACCTCCGCCGCGCAGCGCCAGGCGCCGGAGCCGAAACCCGCGGCCGAAGCGTAGGCCCGGAGGTGCCAGGCGGTCTTGGCCAGGGGAAAAAACCGAACCGAGACCTCCCCAGTTTTTGGACCCATAATCGCAAGGAGAGAACAAGAAAAACGGCTCATAGGTGCTCTCTCCCTTTAAGGTCAGGCCAAAAGGAATAATGCACTTTCCGCAGGGTTCCTTTCAACTATCAGGCCCAAGGGGGCAATGTTACATGCAAGCACATCCGCAAGAACAGACTGGCTGCTCTTTTGTGGGCGTATTCTTCTTTTCCCTTTTGCCGGGCTGAAGTGGCCATCCGCCCATGAATCTGGCTTCAAAATACTGTCAGTGTGGGGGGATGAGGGATCTCCATCTCTCCGCCAGTTGGTGTCTTTCAGCTATTCTAATCGCCTCAACACCATCTCCCGGATCAGAACCGTGATTTCTTGTCAGTCCAGCCCCCAAATGCCCAGAAGGGTGGCTATCATTTTGGGTTCCCTGAAAATGGCGCCTGGACAAGGTATGCACTCTACCAGGGGTCCTTCGAAATCCGTTTTCGGGTGACTGAAACATCGCCTCTTGGTTGCCATTTCTGTTTCAAGGGCACGTACAAGGAACCCTGTTTACTTTGGGTCCCAATGCACGTTCTGAATTCTCAAGCTTTGCCATCTTCATCGGAAGGAATCTCCTTTTCATGCTTTCACTGACTGCCGCCTCAAATGCTTTCACTGACTGTCGCCTCAAACTGATGCAGACTGTCCTGCAACATGGAAGCTGATCTAGCAAGATGTCCAATTCAATTCGTGACCTCCCCATTTCTGCGGATCCATTTCAAAGATCGGGGACTGGGACGTCCAAATCATGCCCCGCGCGCATCATGCCAGCCGGGAGGCCATCTGGACTTGCTCTCGCATCCTGGGCGCCATCACAAGTGTCACCTATCAAGCCAAGGCCTTGAAAAGAGACGTGAAAAACCTATATAGATGAGTTTTGGGCCCAGATGGCCATGGCTTTCTTCTTAGAGGCCCGTGGACATCATGGAGGCTTCGTTTCATGTCCGCCAGCCACTTTGGAGCTGGTTCCTCGTTGAAATTCAGAGCCGAATTCTTCCTTCTCCCAACCAGGCAACCTTCGGAACCGTTCGATCCCTCCAAAGAAACCACAACCTTGCTGCCATCAGCAAAACTCCCTTCAAGCCCAAGGGTTGCAAAGGATTGCACGCAGTACGGACGACAGTTCTCAAAGTCCGTTTGAACCAATTCTGGTGGAAGAGCACTCGGTACATGCCCTCCCACCAATTAACAAACCCTTTAGGAACATGATCCAAGGTTCCATGTAAAAACAGTGAGAGGGTAGCCACACCGAATTGTTGTTTCAGCTATCGGCGAGATGCATCTGCTCCAAGATCTCCACCCCGCGGCTCCAGGGTGTTGCATCCAGCGCTGCTCCGAAAGACACAGCGCCTCGGGGAGCGAGTCGGGCGCCGAAAAAAGCGGATGGCGGTGGGTCCCCGAGTCCCCGAGCTGCAAAGATGGCTTCCGGCCCCAGCCATTTGTGAGTGACAGACACTTCTGACCCGTCTTCACCATGGGCCTGTGTTACGCGGGCTTGACACAGGCCCATCCCTCCCTATATCCAAATTCGCCCCTTTGACAGGTGCCAAGGCACTTCTGCGCAGCGAGATGTTTCCGAGCAGCAGCTTGAAAGCCTGCCAGTGAGACTCTCAGCCCGGCCAGTGCCCAGCTCCGAAATGAAGCTCGAAAGTACCCTTGTACTTTTGCACCACCATTCCCTCAAAAACCACACTAGATGGGTTGAAAATAGGTTGAAATGACTTTGGAGACCCACAGGAAACATCACTACATGAGCACTGGTGACAGTCTTGTTATGGAAATTATGGTACCATTCACTTAAAGTCATCTCCATGTATTGATGTCCTTCAGGGAAGGACTCAGGGGAGCAACGCTCAAAATCCTGCATGAAGGATACCCGCAGCTAGCTACTTCAAATTGGGACTGTCACCTCTCAAGGAACACAAGAGAGGCTAAAAGGATCGAAGCATTCTCCTGCCTTGGACACTCAGAGTCAGCAAGGCACGCACGCACAATTCATTGAGGCACGTGTGCAGGATCTTTGTGTCTGAGTGCCATCTGCGGGTTGATCAAAAGGTCCTTTACATGGGATGACCATTGAGGAAAACCACCGAAACAAGTACATGTCCCACTAAATGGGAAAAGTTACCCATGGTCATTTGGGGGTCGAGCGAAATATGGATCAACCCCCAGTCTCAAATCAAGTGCCTTGCTTGCTTCTCTGCTGGCAAGCTACACCATGACCTGAACCTGAAGCCCCGGAAAAGAGCTTCCATCCCTTCAGTCAGTCCGGGATCCAGCAGCCCCACAATGCCGCTGCATGTTCTTGGCCCGGGTTGCGAGGATTCCTGCACATCGCTACATCCAAAGAGCCGTTCTGCAGCTCCGCTTTGAACAAATAAAACTGGGACCTGACGGTCCCTTCTCGAAGGAGCCTTTGAAGCGCTTTCAACGATACGAAACTCGATAACAACCCAGAAGCGTACTGCAAACAATATTCATAACATACGAATTCAGAGCCATAGCAAGGGAAGCCATTGCAACCCAATACATAGTGACATAAAAATGAACAGACATAAAAGGGTTGCGCATGCCCTGACTATTCCAGAAAGACTGTAGACGTATCAAGAAGGCGCTTCAAGGCGCCAACTTTGTCTAGGTACGTTCGCAAGCATTGCTCACAAAGTATACCCGCAAATTACTTTCGCAACAGTACGACCCGTATCAATGATACAGGCATGACCTCACTTTCGTTGTTGATGTCAGGAAGTTGTCAATTCGCGCAGAAGCCCTCGATGCAAGACGGGCCGTCTCAGGCCTAGACTCCGAGTATCCGGCCTCGGCGCAAGCGCAGAACCAAGCGAAGGTGATTCCTTCCGGTAGAGGCGGAGACAGGTTGTGATGGTCCGAGAGCACGTAGCCGTTCAAATATTCACCCGCTGGTCTGGTCGGGGATAGACTCGTGAGCAATGGCATAAGGCCCACAGGAGGGCATGGACCTTGGTCTTAAGGTTGTCAATGTGGCGCGCCTCCACATCGAGGCACCAAGAAAAGCGTGGAGTCTTTCTGAATGCTATAGTCCGAGAGCGTGCGGCCGTCCTCAAGCTTCTTGTCCTCAAGCCGCTTGTCCTCAAGCTGCCCGAAAAAGATCTGCTGGTCAGTGGGGATGCCCTCCTTGTCCTGGATCTTGGCCTTGACGTTGTGGATGGTGTTGCTCGCCTCCACATCAAGGGTGATGGTCTTGCCAGTCAGCGTCTTCACAAAGATCTGCATGATTCCACACCATCTGCTCAATTGCAGGATTTGTTATTTGCTTCGGGCCACACAGCAACGGTTTCGGCATAGACCCAAAATGGGTGGTTCTCCCATCGGTTCTCCTTTACCATCCCAAAAGGGTTCCCTTAAAAGTGGACGCGCCCCTTGATCCGCCAAACCAAACCTTCAGCTTCTCTCTTGGTGCTTCGGTTTGGTTGGGTGTAAAGGAACGCTTCTTTCTAAAACTCGAATCCAACCAATCCAAACCAATGCGGGGTGTGGGCTACCCCGAAGTCTTCAAACGAAGTCTTCCCGGCGGCCTGCTCCCAGGCGGCCTTCCCACAGGCGCTGCCCGCGGCATTGAAGTTGGCCGCATCCTGCGGTCCGCGAGGATCGCCGCTGCAAACGGCGAGGCTCGCTGATGTTCAAAGCAAATCCGGAGGGTCCGTTCAAAATTTGGGGCTGGACTCCTTGGCTTCCCTTTTAACCAAGGACAAAAAGATCCATGAAAGCCTCCCTCTCGCAAAGGTATCGCCCGAGAATACCAACAACGCACCTTCTCGCAACTGGGTGCAGCTTGGCACACGTCAATTCTGAGATGCGACGGGTTCCCTGTCACTTGGCCGAGCGAGGCCCCAAAGGATCAGTCATAGTGCTCCTCATGGACACTATGATTGGTGATTCTTCCATGTGGCTCAAAGAAGTAGATTCGCTTCTTCCATTGCCTTTGCGCCAAGTGCAAATTGTGCAACTGTTGATGGCACTGCGAATGCTGTTGCTATAACTCATGAACATAATGAGAAGCTTGTAGAATAGAAATCTGAAAAACCTTCTAAAATGTTAGGAACGGCATGAGGAACTCATGCTGGCAGCACCCACCAACCTCCGAATCTATACACACATTGCACGCTATTCTTCCCCCTGCTTTTGACTCGAGCTCACAAAGGGCCAATCCTTCTAAACAGAGTTTTGAGGTACATCTTCAGCCCCACGGCAATCACGGAAGTGCCCACGGCGTGAAAGGCGAAAGTTCGATCCATATGTCCATGTGTTGTCCCAAAAAAAGGATATCGCCTTTCAGACAGACGTCTTTGAGTGCCCAAAACCAGTTGGATGGCCTGGCGCAAGTCGGCGCCCATCACCCCCAGTAGATCGACCGACTGGCGCCAGGGCGGCGCCAGCAAGTTTCCCAGCGCCGCCTCCCCTGCGAAGGTTGAAGGTGCCCCTTTTTGTGGCAAAGGAAAAAACAAAAGGAAGACCGAAGCCATTTTGGGGGGGTCTACAAAAAAACACACCCATGTATACACAGACATATATATATATATATATGTGTGTGTGTGCCTTTCAATGATCCAAACTAAACCAGGCAGCAGAACCCCGACCATTTCGAGGTGTGGTTGTGTGATTTTGGGGTTTTGGACCCTTTGGTTCGTTTGTTTTGTTTCTTTTTCTGGCAAACCAAAAGGAAACTAAACTGGGTGTGGCTCAAAACTTGGGTTCAAAATGGAACCCTGGCAAATGGAAAAGTGGACTAAACCTGCGTAACCAGCTGTTCAATTTTGAGCTACACCCAACTGAAGGGGCCGCTAATTCTCAGAAACACCCATGAGCTGCCGAAAGACCCGCCTCGAAGCGAGCAGCTGCGCAGGAACCGCAGCAACTCCAGCGCCCGGGCCCAGCCCAGGTTCTGGCGAAGGCGTTCCGAGGGTGTCGAGGCCTGATGGTTATTGGCGGGTGTTTGTTGTTGGTTTCTGGTGAGTCTGTTTCTTCTTTTTTAATGCTCTTATTATGCTATTCTGTAATGTTGTTGCGCTGCTTGTTGTTGTGTTATCATGATGATTTCTTAGTCTGCTGCTTTGTTATTCTCTTGCGCGTGTTCATTGAGCAATGAGTGTTATGATGTTGCTCTGCTTGGTATGGCGCTGGTCATTGATCGCCAGCCAAGGCAATGATCTTCAGTGAGCAGAGTTTGCGGGTGAATCATTGGATGCAGGACATAGAAGAGCACTCGGGGTAGCCCCAAACCCTAAGCCCGGAAGCCCAGGGTTTTGGGCGCTCAGGGCTTTGGGCTCAGGGCTTTAGATTCTCAGGGCTAGGGTTTGGGATTTCGGGCTCGGGATTTTAGGGTTTGGGACTTAGGGTCGGGATTTTTAGGGCTTAGGTTTCAGGGATCGGGATTTTTAGGGTTTAGGATTTAGGGCTTGGGATTTTTTCGGGCTGAGAGCTCAGGGTTTTGGATTTCTAGGGTCTTGGATTTATGGCTCGGGGTTTTTTCAGAGAGCTTAGGTTTTTTAGGATTTTTAGGGTTTAGGATTTGGGGCTCGAGATTTCTAGCGTTTAGAGCTTAGGTTTTGGATTTTTTGGGTCTTGGATTTGTGGCCCGGGATTTTTTCAGGTCTTAGAGCTTAGGTTTTCGGATTTTTAGGGCTTAGGATTTAGGGCTCGGGATTTTTGCAATTTAGAGCTTAGGTTTTTTTCGGGTTTTAGGGTTTAGGATTTAGGGCTCGGGGTTTTTAGCGTTTAGAGCTTATGCTTTTTCCTTTTGAGGGTTTAGAATTTAGGGCTCGGGATTATTGCGGTTTAGAGCTTTGGTATTTTTCGTATTTTTAGGGTTGAGGATTTAGGGCTCGAGATTTCTATCGTTTAGAGCTTAGGCTTTTCTGATTTTTAGGGTTTAGGATTTGGGGCTGGGGATTTCCGGGGTTTAGAACTCAGAGATTTTCGGATTTTAGGGTTTAGGATTTAGGGCTCGGGATTTTTAGCGTTTAGAGCTTAGGGCTTTTCGGATTTCAAGGGTTTAGGATTTTTGGGCTCAGGATTTTTAGGGTTTAGAGCTTAGGGGTTTTTGGATTTTTATGGTTTAGGATTTAGGGCTCGGGATTTTTGAGGGTCTTAGAGCTTAGGGATTTTTTTTGTTTTTAGGGCTTGGGATTTTCACTGCTCAGAGCTTAGGGTTTTTTGGGATTTTTAGGGTTTAGGATTTAGGGCTCTGGATTTTTGTGGTTTAGAGCTTACGGATTTTTTGATTTTAGGGTTTAGGATTTAGGGCCCGGGGAGTTAAGGGTTTCGAGCTTAGGGGATTTTTGGATTTTTGGGGTTTAGGATTTGGGGCTCGGGATTTTTAGGGTTTAGAGCTTAGGGGTTTTTCGGATTTTTAGGGTTTAGGATTTAGGGCTCGGGGTTTTTATGGTTCAAAGCTTAGGGGTTTTTTCGATTTTAGGGCTTAGGAGTTAGGGTTCGGGATTTGAAAGGTTTAGAGCTTAGGGTTTTTTTCAGGGCTTGGGTTTTAGGGCTCAGGATTTTTAGGGTTTGGGAGTTAGGGCTCGGGATTTTAGAGGTTTCCTCGGTGTCCTTTCGCGGGGCGGCTCGACTAACCGCGGCTGAAATCTGAGCTGGGCGCCGACAAACAAGCCTCAGCCCTAGGTCCTGCACGACGTCGAAGGAAAGGGGCGGCACGTCGGCCTCGCTGCTCGGCGCCCACTTCAGCTTGAGCGCAAGCTGTTGGGGTCCCGAAAGCCTGCGTCCTCGATGACCGGCAGGCCCTTTCCTGCGGGCGACCCGCGCGGCCCTTATTTTTGCTTGAGCGCCGACCCCGCCTAGGACGACGCGCCCCTTGTCCGACTCGCGCGCCGTGCAGCGGAACTGCGGGACGGGGTAGACGACGAGGTTGCGCTCGTCGTTGCGCTGCGCGTTCTGCAGCAGCCCCATGTCCTGCGCAAAGGAAAGAGACTTGGAAGAAGCGCGGTTGCCTTGAGGATGTTTGCGAGGACCCTTTTGGGGCGTTTGCTGTAGAGCTCTTATACCACGTCCGCACAGGAATAAGGCCGGAAGAGTGAAGGAATGGGCATTTGCAACCCTTGGCGGGGCACATTCGGGAACCTTTGCGACCCCATTGAATTGCTTTTGAGGCTGGGCGGTTGGGGGTCTTGTGGATGTACAATTCGATACTCGTGAATGGAAACAAGAGAAACCGCCGAGGGGGCACTGAAGAAGTCTCGCCTTGAAGTCTCAATAGGACGTTTCACGCAGATGCTTCAACACCTTTAAGCTCCGTGTAAGGTTTGGGGATCTCGTGGAGTTTTGCGTTGGGCGCCACCACTTTGGAGATGGAGCTGAACATAGTGAAGAAGCATTGGCGAACGATCTTTTCACGCTAAGGTCTCAACAAATTCATTTGCGACAAGACTAAGTGTGAGGATCGGTCTCAGGTCTACAAGGGAAAATTGCAGTGGCACTCATCACTCGTGGTCCTTGTCGCAGGTGATTGTCTCAGTGACAGCATTCGAAAGCAAGGAGGACATGTTGGTTTGACAGGGCGAGCTGATGCTCTCATGTACTAGTTGGGGTGTTCAGGGATTGTCTCGTGTCAGGATGTGATGGAAAGGGTCCAAGCTCACCCGAATCGAAGCCATGTGTGCGACTTCTCGAATGATGCGGACATGAGGAAATGAGGAAATTATGTCGGGGGTTTTTGAGTGGTCAGTTTGGCCTTAGTCCTAAGGAAATCCTTGTGTCCGCGACAAGCTTTGTGGGAGCACCTTCAATCGGTTGGTTGCGCTGGATGTTGTATTGGTTCTTTGACATGGCGATCCTGTTCCTCACTTGGTGGCCCTGTGTTGCTTTAAACTCATGAGGCGTTCCCGAGCCCAGAAAGTCTGCTCCATACTCAGAGCGCTTTCTCCTGCAGGGAAAAAAAGCGCGGCTTCCCCCGAGACAAGAAAATGTCTCTCCGGCTGGCGGCCGGCGCCTCTGCCATCCATGACCTTGTCGCCGTGGAACTCGACGTCGTAGGGGGTCTTGAAAGCAACGCGATGCTTCGAGCAAAGAAGCAAGGGCGCCGAGCGATCGCGGGCCGCGCCCTGCTGCTGTCCGAGGCGCGCCGGGCGGCAAGGGCAAAGATTTGGTCGGCGAGGCCAGGAGCGGGAGGCGGGCGTAGGCGGTGGACGCAAAACGCGTGTGCTTCAGCACCTGCAGGCAAGGTGACAAGCTTGCTCTGAGACCTCGCAACTTGTTCCCCGCCTCCAGCGCCACCTTGCTCTCCGACAACGGCTTGGGCGAGTATATGATCTCGCCGTTCTCCCGCCCGAGAATGGCCTTGACAAAGCGCAGGGCAAACCCGCCGCCGGGCCTGCAGGACAAGCGGTCGGTCGTCCTCTGGGCCCTCGCCGCGCCACCAGCGGTGCAGCACGGCCGGCTTCTTCAGGGGATGCGGTGCCCAGTCTCAATGCCCAGTTCTTTCCCCTCAGCCCCCCTCAACTGTTTGGCACCTCTGAGTTGCCAAGCAGCTGAGGGGCTTGAGCCCAAATACCTTTAAGAGTCACCTTCTTGGGAAGCCTGCTCCTTGGCTCTGGCGCCAAAGAGCATTTTGGTCAATGTACAAATTACAAGTTTTGGAGCAAAGCCGTTTCTGCTTTGGGTTGCTGGAAATGTCTGGAAATGTCCTATATAAAGATGGCTTAACAGCTACAGACAAACAAAATGCTTTGGTGGACCGCGGTGGACCCCTTTTGTATTTCAAGAAAAGCCAAAGCAAACCCTTGCCAATTTAGGAAAAAGACCCATCCCGTCTTGAAAACCGATCAATAGCCCCTGGTGGTTTTAACCCTCCAACCCCTCCAACCCCCCCCAACCCCCCCCCAACCCCCCCCAACCCCCCCAACCCCCCCAACACCCCCAACACCCCCAACACCCTCCGCACCCCCAACACCCTCAACACCCCCAACCTGCAGCGGGCTGAAGGTGAACCCGTCCCTCCGCAGCGATCGGGGCGTCATGGCGGCCACATGTGCCAGCGCCGAGGCCCACGTCGCGCGGCTTCCGCGCCGCGTCGCGGCAAGAAGGGCGATGTTGAGGAGCCTCGGGTCTGCATGCGGTCCCAAAAGGCTCCCCTAGCATCCCTAAAGAAAACTCGTCAAGGCCACTTTCCGGCCAAGGTGACGTTCAAAACCACGCAAGATAAAATATGGAGAACCCTGCCTCCCTGATGTTTTATTTAGGGGAGGACAGCGGGCAAACTCGGAAGAACCTTGAAGCGAAGGGGTCATCTGCCATTTTAGTCAAACAACATTTTTCGGGACATCATGGCCTCCGAATGAGTCCGTCAAAAGAACACATGCTCGGGCCAGCTCTGAAGCACCCACCAATTAGAAAGCCAATAAGTCGGGAGACTCTGCAGACAAAAGTCCCCCACTCCTCCAAGTCTGCTGGTTTCATCTTGGTTCCCTTGAAACCCGCAAAGGAAAGACCCCTAGTTGTTTGTCATCCGAGTGAATTGCAATGAGCACTTGTTGGCATGGTTTTGTTTGAGGAAACCAAAAAGACATCCATGTTGCAGGGATTCTTTCCATTGAAGGCGCCAAACCCATCCCAACAAACCGGAACGAGTCGGGCGTTGGGAACCCAGACTATCCCCCCTTTTTCTGGGGGGACAAGGAATTGGCTCTGAAAACAATTTCTGCCCCAGCACCCTCCAAAAACCCGGCACATTTGGAGCCAAACCCAAAACCAAAACCATTCCAACATTTGGCCTGTCCCACCCCTTGGGCCACGGCTTTCGGCCCTGGCCTCGCCCATCGGGCTATCGACTCCGAGGCGCTGCGTGTCTTGGCCCGAGTCCGCCAGCTGCACCGCGCTTCGCCAGGCGCCGCCCTTCTCGCAGGCGCTGGCTGCGGCGGAGCGCAGCACCACGTCGCAGCGCAGGCCGCAGTCCTACCCGCGGCCACGGTGGAACCAAACTGAAAGCCCCGAAATCCATACAAAGAAACCAAGCAAGCAAGCAACCAACCAACAAACCAACTAGCCACAACCAACCACGACCAAGCCACAGCCGACCCCAACCCGCCAACCCGCCGACACGTCACCCACAACTCAGAACGGCCTGTGCCATTTCAAGCAACTGCGCCGCCCTCTGCCACGAGGAGCGCAGCGCAAAAGCAGAAACCGCAGAGGTGTACGCCACCGTGTCCTGACGTTGATTTGAGGTGGGTGGAGTGATAGATGGGTGGGGTTTGGGCGCTTGGCGGGACAGTTGAAAGGACTGTACGGCGCAAAATGGGGAGGACATAAATCCGACCCCCGTTGCCCTGGAAGCACGATTTTCGCTCCAAATTGTCGCTCCTTGCAAGACCTGCTCCCGCCTCAAAAGCTCCCCCGACCACTTCTTTAACTGCGCTCGCTGTCTGCGTCAAGGACAGGCGGCGCAGTGCGTGTTCAAGCGAGTCAAACACGCTCTATGCCTTGGCGCCCACCATGGTGGCTCAGAGTTTGGTCCCAAAGCTGGTGCTCCAACGGGTGCAACAACTGGCTCATTGCTAGAAGCTGCGACGGGGCACACGCCTCATTGCAGCGCACACAACGCGTCTTCAGCAAGGGCAATCTGGGTCTATTCACCACTCCGAAGAAACTTGGAACCTGACTCGTAGAAACAGCCAATTGGATCGGAATCTCCTTTGCGTATGGGACCTTTTTTGAGCTTCATTTCATCGTGTATATATATATATAAAGAGAGAGAGAGAGAGACAGACAGACAGACAGACAGAGAGCGAGAGAGAGAGAGAGAGCGAGTTATTGCCAAACCCTGACCATAAATATGTACATGTATATGTATGTTCATAGAAATGTGTGTATATATATATATACATATATACACATCTACATTTGTCATGAAAGTACCCATTTCAGGATCCCACTTTGTGTCCATTTTGTTTTGGCCCGCGCGCATGGTCTGCGGGAGAACTAGTGAACCCTCAAAATGGGACATCCCTTCAAACCATCACAAACAGTATCCAAGGCCTTCACGAACCAACTCCTGTGTGTGAACCTCCGAATAACCCCCCCTCCCCAACCCCCACCCCCCCCCCAAAAAAAAAAGAAGACGCATCTCCTGCGGGACCTCCGCCGCTCGCCAGCGCCCCGCCTTTGCGCAGGCACCCAGCAGTGCCTCAAACACGACGGATGCGGCACCCGTTGTTGATTGTTTGTTGTTTTTGTATATAGCTAAATACTTATCAACTTATCTAGAAAGGTTACTTGCTTGTTTGCCTATGTGTTTGATGTTGGTGCTCTGCTCTATTCGTTGTTGTCTGTTCTATTCATGTATTCATTGACTAATGGATCTAATTGTGCACTTAATCAGATTTTGCCAAGAACATTGTAGACTCGTCGGAAATCAGTCGGATAGGATAGGCTCCTTTCGAGGGACGACAGGGAAGGTTCGCTTCAGAGTCTCAGAGGACGATGTGGGAAGTGGGATGTCCAAAAAAATCGTGTGAGACTCTGAAAGACATGCGTTTTTGGCCCAAGAACATGCTCTGCTGTTGGGGTCGTTTCGACCAAGCCCACGCGTTGAATTTTGGCTCGCTGGGGACGTGAGAATCGCTGCAACCCAGCTTGGAAAAAACAAATCTCAAACCAGAACGATTTATAGTGGAGAATCGAGAGCTATCTTGTTGAAATGAATGTCAATACTCAAACAAAGCATGATGTGTTTTGGATAACCACACGTGTCACTGGGTTGTTGTGCGAAACTTGGGCGCCCCCTCAATTCTTTCCCAAACCGGCGGTAGACAACCAACGATACTGCTAGTTGCTCAACCACATTGCCCGATGCGGCTTTCAAAGAGTTCTATTGCGCCAATTGCGCAGCTCTCTGTCGATCTCTCCGTGGATCATAACCAGAAATGTCGGAGAGCCGCACTGAGGTCACCACATTTGTACCTTGGCTCTCGAACCCGCAACGCGTTAAGGCTTGAAGGACAACGACCTGGTCACTTTCCACTGATCACATGAAGGTTTCTCGTGCTGGACGGCGTTGAGCGGAAACCAAGGAAGCAGCCCATTTGGGGGGCTCCAACAAGCTTGAGAACACCCACATTGGCAGACCTTTCTGCGTGCAGGCCGCTGATGGCGTCAGGACAATGGCCATCCGTCTGCAGGCCGGCCATGATGTCCAAAGCCTGAACCAGCCAGGCGTTGTTTTTTTTCCCCAAAGAAACCCCCTTTGCATTCGAACGACCTCAATGAGGATGGTTGTGCAAGGGTGGTTGAATTTGTTAGAGTACGCGGGGTGATACCTAACCCCTTCCAACAAAGAAACAACAGAATGACGACTTGGCGTTGAGCGCATTTGGATTACCCTTCCCCACTAACATAGCACCTGTGGGAGGGTACCTGGAAGATCATTTTCCTCTTGAAGCGACCCCCTGTCAGGTGCCTTGGCAACGTGGGAAGGAGGGTACCGGCGCAGGTATCAAACTCTCCGGGACCAGGCCCGGCCTTAATTGTTGATGTTTGAGAGGTAGCCTGACAGTTGGCTGAAAGTAGATTGCCGAATCCCTTTTAGTTGGGTAAACAAAAGGATGACTAACACCAAACAGGGCGAATTCACCCAACTGCATGCAGGCCTAGGTGTTCTTGTAGACAAATAGATGGCAGTGGTAAATGACTTGCACACTGACCCAAAACGGGCACCTATGTAGCCAGTTAGCATCTGAACGATTGCATCAAAAGCGAGGCGGAAATCACGTCAATCAATTTGCTCATCACTATTGTTGCGATGAAAAAGACTGGCGAATCTAATATAGGGGATGTGTCTTCCTCTGCAAAATGACCCCTATTAATCAACCATGGGCTAATCTACAACCCTTGATATGGAACAAAAAGCTTTGCTTTTTTGCAGCCCCCTACTAAAATGAACAAACCAAGAAACAAAACAAGAATAACTAAAGACCTGCCAACAACAGAGAAGGTTATTACTCCAAGGTCAACGTGATCGGCTCACTTCAAACTTTGTGAGCTTGCCTCCGCCCAAGCTTTTCGCCGTCCACAGGCACCGAGGGTCTTGACAACTCGCATGCCGAGCTGCCTTTCCTGGCGGGCGAGGTGACATGATGTCCGGTATGTCCTCTCTTCACATGAGCAGGTCTTGGCACATGACACGCAAGCAACGTGCTATGTGTCTCCTTTGTTGTGCAAGTACACCAAGCCCCATCTTTTTGCAGCGCCCGGCTAAAACATGCATGGGCAGCCTCACCCCTACAGTCTAGTAGCAGTCTATGATGCGTAGTGACCGTAGTTACCGTAGTGCGCCCAAAACATTGGGCCGCCTTTGGGTCTCATGAACCAACTGGCTTCATCTTAATATAGGGGAGGCTTTCCTCTTGGTTCACCTTCAGAGGCAAACCCCAAAGGCCACCCGAAAAGAAAAACGCAACTGAACTTGGCAACGGGACGCCCCTTGACACCGGCCTCTGCGGACTTCCGTCGCATCGCGGTTTGCCTGCGGGGCTTGGGGGCTGGCAGGGGCACTCAGAATCTGAGTGCAAACCAAAAAAGCAAACCAAGTCTGATTACCCTCTGGATTGGCATGGAGGCTTAAACCGGTTCAGAACACACCCTCGCCATGAGAGCAAGCAAGTTTGACAAGTGGGCACAAATACTCACCCTGAGATCCAGCAACCACTATTGCCCAAAAGGGATTGCCTGCTCCACCAGTGACAACGACCCTGAATCTATCCAATTAGAAAGGCCTCAGGATCCTTCGGCAAAATATCAGGGACTCCCTGGAAGCTACCCTCATCCGGACCTGCCACTGAGATGCCCTCACAATATCCGGAGCTTTGCGGGCTTCTGTGACATCGAGCCGGGGGACACGGCTCAGATCTATCTCCGGCAGATCAAGTCAGGCGATTGCTACACCACTTGGAAGCACAGGCAATTGCTTGATCTAGAGTGCTCTGCAGAGGGGTAAACAACAAAGCCCCTGGATAGTCGACCTTTTTTGCAGCATTGGCGAATACCGCAGCACTTCCACTCATGGCATGTGGTGAATGTACCTTTGAGGGATCAAACTTCGTGCCTGAGCAAGGAAGGCATATCAAACGTTGAGCGACTGACAACACCGAGAACACAAAAATGAGATTCGGAAATGGATGTGTGATTCCTTTCCCAACATGTCCGTCGTACTTGTTTACGTTCTTGATATAATTTGTCCGTGTCCTTTCTCTTTTCATCAAGGGTCAAATGTTGTTGTCCTCCCCCATCTCCCCAAACCAACAGTAGTCAGTTGTTCCTATGGACGCAACAATTGCGGCATATTCTGCACGATTAATACGCCGATTGTGGGGTGTGATCAGTCAATCGCTCCTTGTAGCTCGTGTGCTCAGCAATTCCCGCCTGCACATCCCATCTGGTCTTGGAAAGCGGGTAAATTTGAGCCAAAACTATCACAGCTTTGCAGCTGGTGGCTCCGAGACATCACATACGCTTGCCAGGGCTTCTCCGATTCGCTGCCAGCGTCCGATCCTCTCCCAGTCTGCAACAAAAAGGGGTACCTCCAGGTTGAGACTAATATGCTGAGCCTCTGTATAGAAACAACAACTAACAGAAGTCCCACTTGGGTGGTCTGTTGCTCTCAGAATCCGTCGACGCTAGTCAACCGTGTAGATAGTCTGGCTCATGTGATTGATACTGGGTTTGATCCGGAACTGCTTTTAAGTCCATCGACTTTCCGGGACCAATATTTAGTCCGTGCAAAGTCCTGTTCATGTCCTTGGTTTTGCCTCTTATCGACGCTTTGAACTGGGGGATTGTGTCGGTCACACTCTTGCACCCCCACATCCTTGAGGGAGGGTATCTAAATGTCTGAGTGTCAAACTAGAAACCTCATTTTAGGCTCAACAGGAAAACAACATGAGGACGCTTCCCGGAGCTTGTCAAATGACACCCCTCCACAAAACTGATGTTTCAAAACTGATGTCTTGGCTGAGCTTCCGGGTGTCCCATCTTGTTTAAATGGATCTTCCTCGACAAGAGGGTCCATCTGCTTTCAAGTGAATTAGAAACGATCTGGTTCTGACTCAAAGATAGAAGGTCAAAATGGGGAAGCCCCCCAAAAATGCGATCCCCTAACAGGGCAACCCCAAAACCGGTGCCTTCCAAAAGTCAGAACCAACGAGGCAGGAAATCGCCTTCAGGCCAAGTCCACGTCCCGGTTCTCAGGGAAATCCCCCCATATAGACATGGGAGCCCTCAACATCAAGACTTTGCTGTTGGACTCCCGTTAGAACAAAAGCCAAAAAAACAACAACAACCAAACAACAACAACCAAACAACGACAACAACAACAACAACAACAACAACAACAACAACAACAACAACAACAACAACAACAACAACAACGCACCGTCATGCTGTTAGCGCGCGCGCCAAAAGTCTGGAATCCCACTGGAATGAGCGCGCAACGTGCTGAAATCACTGTTTTTCCTCAGGGATGCAGCGTCACGCCTCCTGGACGTCCTTACCATGTGCCAGCATGTGTGCAGTTATGACATGATGCACTTGAGCGGGTGTGCTTACCATGTGCCGGCATGTGTGCATTTATGACATGATGCACTTGAGCGGGTGTGCTTACCATGTGCCGGCATGTGTGCAGTTATGACATGATGCACCTGAGCGGGTGTGCTTACCATGTGCCGGCATGTGTGCAGTCATGACATGATGCACTTGAGCGGGTGTGCTTACCATGTGCCGGCATGTGTGCAGTCATGACATGATGCACTTGAGCGGGTGTGCTTACCATGTGCCGGCATGTGTGCAGGCATGATCATGACCATGATGCACTTGAGCGGGTGTGCTTACCATGTGCCAGCATGTGTGCAGTTATGACATGATGCACTTGAGCGGGTGTGCTTACCATGTGCCGGCATGTGTGCAGTTATGACATGATGCACTTGAGCGGGTGTGCTTACCATGTGCCGGCATGTGTGCAGTCATGACATGATGCACCTGAGCGGGTGTGCTTACCATGTGCCGGCATGTGTGCAGTTATGACATGATGCACTTGAGCGGGTGTGCTTACCATGTGCCGGCATGTGTGCAGTTATGACATGATGCACCTGAGCGGGTGTGCTTA